TCAAATAATCCTGTGCTTCCATACCACCACAGCATTGCCACAAACTGATCACCTCCACGCCACGCCGAATTGAGGCAGTAATTAAAGCAAAAGGAGCCCCTACCAAGTATTGAGTACATGTACAGTAGGGTTTAACCCAATAAATAAAAAAATAAAAAGCAAAATAAATAAATAAATAATAAAAAACATCAAACAATAATTTAAAGTGAAACATAAATAATAATTGTATATTAATATTAAAGGGGTCATGAACTGAGAAACCAAAATTTCCTTGATCTTTTGACCTCTGCCGAACTGCTAGGCTGTGAAAAAACTGCTGCTGAGTCTCCTTCACCACTCCCCGACAGATCTGAGATCAGACAGAAAGAGAATGTAAATTTTTTTATATACATACAAATCTGAGAAGACTAACTAGGGAACATTTTGAAGTATCAAGCAATTATGGCCAAGAAAGCACCGAATGTATCCTTTGTGGATAATTTCATAATGCATTGTGATGAACTCTATCTGTATTAAAGGGGTCATGAACTGAGAAACCAAAATTTCCTTGATCTTTTGACATGTAAGAGGTCGTTGTGCTATAAAAACATTCTGTAAGTTTCAGAACTCAAATCGTTCCCGTTAGTCTAAAAGCAGCTTATATTGAAGGCAGTCTGCCAAAACCACAGCTTCTGGAATGTTCTACTCTATGATGTAATAGTGTGGATAAACCCCGCCTCTGCAGAAGATGATCAACACCTGCTTCTACATCGCTGCCTGTTTAGCCCCGCCCACTGATTCGGGCATAGATTAGGTAAATGACAAGAGCGGCAAATGCAGGTCTACGCAGAAACCAAACGAAAAACTGTATTTAAAGAGCTTTATTTTTAATGAAGTGCCAGATCAAGTCAATAACAAGGCACAATTCAAAACAGGATATTCAGAAAGACTGAAACTAAAAGACGATGCTGTGCCGACTATATTGGATCCGACAGTAATGTCACAACACACAAGTGTGAGTAACTGTTTTCATAACATGATCACTATTGCTTTGTCTGTTATTACAGATTGTTTGATATGTAGTGAGTATGTATGCGTTTTTAACCTAAATCACAGCAGCGTCCATCTATGAAGGATGTAGACTGTCAAACACACAACTCTTAGCCATGCCTATTCAAACAGAGCGTTCTGATGAGGGCGGTTAAAGACAGGACAGCAAAATAGCCTATTACTTCTAAATTATGATGTTTTTTATGTAAAAATCTTGCTAACATTATAAGTGGACCTTAGAGAACAGTACAAAACAAAAAACAGAGGCAGTTCATGACCCCTTTAAAATAATTTAATTAAAATTTTAAAAGTTTAAAATTAACTTTTGACTGGTAGTGTATAAGACTTATAATGTATTTTTTGCCCCATTAATTAATCAGCCCATAAACGAACCAGAATGGCTTAATCTGTTCTCTTTCTCTTGGTCTTGGTGAAAGACTTCAAAAGAAGCTTCTGAAAAGATAGCTGAGAAAAGAAAATCCAGCTTTTTGTAAGTCCTGCTCTGCCTTCAACAAAGGATAAAGCTGGTAATGTCTCAGTTCAAGTGACTCATTTCTAATGACTACCTGCATCTCTGACGTAATGGAAAGCTTTCAGCAAACAAAGCCTTAAAATTGACAAGCGGTGGGACACAGCTGATCACCACAATGTTGGACTGAATGTACGTAGCTTCCACCTACATACCAAGCGATCATCTCGGAGTTAAACAGCACTCAAGAAAAGTGAGCACAGCTGAATGCACAAGACAAACAGGCACGGCCACCACCTGAGCACGTCTGACAAGCTACATTCACACTGAAGCTGAATACATCCCAAATCTGATTCTCCCTCCAAATGTGACACATGCACATTTATTTTCGGATGACAGTGTGAACTGCAAAAATCACAATGAATCTGACATTTTCAAATCTACTGAGGGACACTTTATCGGTGAAGATCTTATTAATTGCAGAAAACACAAGTTGTAAAAAAATTTTTCACAAAAACATAAATTATGCATTTTGAGATGAAAAGTGACAACAGATATAAAAAAAAGTTAAGTGCTAATGCATAAATGTAAGCCTGAAGTCCAAAAAAAATCTGTTGATTAGATTAGAAAACTGGAAATGGCCACTTTGGACTGAGCTGTGGCCATAGTCACATTGTCAAATTTTATAACAATAACAAAAATCGTCCAGGGTTACAGAGCTGGCTCTTGTTTTTATAATGAAAAGTACATCAACAATATCCAAGGCCACTAAAATTACTGACGTTAGAATTGCAACAGTATTAAAATTCATCAGGTAAATGAAGTGGCCCAGTTTACAATCTTCACGGTGCACCTGAGACATTTCTGACCTTTTCTGAAAGCAGCATGCTGTAGCACGGTCACAATAAATGAAAGAAAAAAGATATTCACATTCTATTATACATCCTGTACCCTTCTAAAATGCTGAAGCGAGAGAGGAGGCAGTCAAATGAAAGGACAGGTCTTATATAAGCCAACAACAATATCACAACAGAGTCCTGATTGTTTGTCATACTTTTTTTTTTTTTTTTTTTTTTGCTGTATGGACATCTTTGTTGATGTATAACACAATTGAAAAGCACATATTTGTATGACCAACACAAAACAGAATTTCAGACTTTCAAAGATTTTCTGTGGAATTGGTTGTGTACATTCATGAAACCCCTGGTAAAAAAATTCATACAAAAAGTATATTCATAAAAGCTTTTTTTTCTTCTTCTGTGGCTGATCTTTTCAGGTTGCCTGTCAAGCTTTGACTTATTTTGAATCAAAAGACTATCTTTCAAAAGTCTGCCAGTTATAGCCCTCTCTTAAAGCGGTGTAAACACATTCATTATGCAGTGGCATCTCTGCTCTTCAGAGGCACTATTCCCTACCTCAAGTTCCTCACTGGATAAAACATATGTAGCCCTGGTGTTGTTTATAAAGCTGTCAATCAATTCTAGTAATTTATTACGTTTTTTAATCAAATGAAAGTAATTTAGTAGTAAATAACATTATTGTTGCAGACATAATTTATTATACACGACCATTCAAACGTTTAGTGTTGGTAAACTATTTTAATGTTTTTGAAATAAGTCTTTATGCTTACCATAGCTGATTTAATTGATAAATTACAATTTTAACAATAACTAATTTCAATTAGAATATATTTTAAAATATAATTTATTCCTGTGATGGAAAATCTGAATTTTCAGTGTCACATGATCCTTCAGAAATCATTCTGATTTGCTGCTTAAGAAAGTTTTCTTATTACAATCAATTTTGAATTAAGTTTTTTTGATGAATAGAAAGTCCAAAAGAACAGCACAAAGAACCACTTTTGATCAATTTAATGTGTCCTTGCTGAATAAAATATTTTTCTTAAAAAAAATAAAATAATAATAATAAAATAAATTCTTACCGACCACAAACTTTAAATGGTGTGGTAGCATACGGGTTAGGAGACATAACTAAATATGATACATTTATAAATGTTTTATGCTAATAATTAATTGTTCAAAATTACTATGTTCAAACTGACAGCCCTAATTTGCATTCATATAACATTGTCTCTCTCTCTTAGGATCTGTGATGTTGTCAAGGTTGCTAATTGTGAGTGTGGTTAGCGGAGCTGCATCAATACCATTCAACTGCTTGACAGACTCTGTTTATAGTATGTCTATTTAAAATAATTAGACAGACGAAGCCTCTCAAAACAGTCAATTCGATTGCCGCTCCCCAGATAATCATCCAAAATGTCCAAATGAGAAGACTCTGAATTTCCCGAGATGGATTCTTCTCATCTGAAGAGAAAAGTGGCTCGTACATAATTGACATAATTGTTTTGAAGAGGATTAGCATGGAAGCTAGCTGTCTGAGAAGAGGGCAATAAAATAAATGTGGCGTCTACGTGGAGGCTCAGTGTTGGCCTCAGCATCGCATGTAAACAAGTACTGAATCAACCGGTTTAAACCAGCATGCTTCCTGCCTCCGCTGATGAAAAGGAATAGATGAAAACACAGAGGCCGATAGAAGCGAACGAAAAAAAAACCTGAGAGCGTGACAGAGAAACAAGGTCTCACCTCCCTGCAGCGTGTACTCAGTGACAGGCTGACTGAAGACGCCCAGGCCTGCCCCGGTGTAGGCGGCCACCTGAATCTCATACTGGGTCCAGATGATGAGCTCTGTGATCAGGCAGTAGTTGATCTCAGGGCTGGTGATGTTCTTCTGCTGGTGCTCTCCAGGGAGCCCCGCGAGCCGGTACCTGCATCAGGGCAATCGATGGCCAAACAGTGAGCGACAACGATTTTCTTCCAGGTCACCGTGCCGTTAGATGTCATCCCACAGGCTGTATAATTATTAGGCACACACTAGCTCTCTTCCAGAGAAGGAATGGTGTTAAATACACCACTGATGGGGGAAAGCTATTAAAAACAGCATAAATATTCACAACACATCCACTGAGGAGGATAAGAGTGGTCAAACACTGCTAATGAAATGCATCCAAGCTCTTGCTACGTAAAAGAGAAATGGGTGTCATTTAACTGGTTGATCTTCTCTGTTGGGTGGAAAGTAACTATAATAAATCAAAATAAGATCTTTACTGGATACCCTGAACGATCCTTCAGAAATCATTCTAATATGTGACCCTGGACCACAAAACCAGTCATAAGGGTACATTTTTTTAAAAATGTAGATGTATACATCATCTGAAAGCTGAATAAATAAGCTTTCCATTGATGTATGGTTTGATGGGATAGGACAATATTTGGTCGAGATACAACTATTTGAAAATCTGGAATCTGACGGTGCAAAAAAAAAATCAAAATATTGAGAAAATCACCTTTAAAGTTGTCCAAATGAAGTTCTTAGCAATGCATATTACTAATAAAAATTTTAGTTTTGATATATTTACGGTAGGAAATTTACAAAATATCTTCATGGAACATGATCTTTACTTAATATCCTAATGATTTTTGGCATAAAATAAAAATTTATAATTTTGACCCATACAATGTATTTTTGGCTATTGCTACAAATATACCCCAGCGACTTAAGACTGCTTTTGTGCTCCAGGGTCACATATGCTGATTTGAATACTTTTAGTCAGCAAGGACACAGAAGTTGTAAAATGTTACAAAAGATTTATATTTCAAATACAAATGCTGTTCTTTTAGACTTTCTATTCATCAAAGAATATTAAAAATATTAAACTTATTTCAACATTGATAATAATAGGCTAAGACCAGCAAATCCGCATATTAGAATGATTTCTGAAGGATCATGTGACACTGAAGACAGTATCTTTTGATACTACTTTTGATAGGTTGTTCATATAAAGGCCCAGACAAACAGAATCAACATAAATAACTAGCAAGAATGTGGTGTCACCTCACGTTGCCTTTGTCTGGGCCAAAGAGTTGCGCTTGAGCACAGCTCAATGACTACAGTCAATGCTAACTTGCACATACATTCCGCACCTGTGTGAGAGGAAATAACCAAAAGCAACAACCAGCAGATAACGGTAATCTATATTCGTCATTCAAAAAGGCAAACTGGAAGAGTTAGGACTGCAGATATACTGTTAACAGCCTCTTAAGCCTCGTCATTTGCTTGCTGATGGGCTCCGACGATCAATCAGACCAAAACAAATCAGACCAGATTTTTTGCTCAATCAGACAAAAAAGCCATGTGGAATAAACTGCAAAAACTAGGCCAACATTAAGCAGTGGTCAGCTTGATGTGTCATGGCCTTAACAATGCATAGTTAAAGACACAACAGAATAGCTTTTTTAAAGTAAATTATATTTGAATAATTTTTATTTAATGTACGATTTTTTTAAATTTGACCAAAACAGCATTGTTCTGACCACTAGTGTGGAGCGTCATGTTTGCCAAAACCTTTAATACAGCCTGACTAGATTCACTATCACATAGACATGTCAAACACTCATTTTAAATCAGTTTGCTTACAAATATGCTTGGCTACAACTGTATTAAAACAGCAGTGAAAGTGACAGCACTAAGGTCAACTCCATTATCTAGATGGGATGACAAATGCAATCAAAACTGACATTGCTGGCCCCAAAATAAACTGCACTTTTGAATTAAAAGTGACTGCCAAATGAATAAACATGTATTTAAAATGCAGATTTTTGTGCCATTAGTGGTACAAAATGGAATTTAGAAATTATGGTAACACTTTACAATAAGGCTCCATTTGTTACCTACATTAATTAACATGAACTAACAATTAAAAATTATTCGAAAGCATTTATTAATCTTGGTTAATGTTCATCGCAACACTAATACATTATTAAAATAAAAAGTTTTATCTGTAAATATAATTTAATGCACCTGAGCTAACAAGAACCAACAGGGAACATTTGTATTTTTTATGAACTAACATTAACGAAGATGAATAAATAATGTATTGCTCATTGATAGTTCATGTATTAAAGTTATAGTTCAGTTATAATGAAAATTTTGTCATCATTTACTCACCCTCGCGTCAATACAAACCTGTATGAGTTTCTTTCTTATGTTGAACATACAAGAATATATTTTGAAGAGTGCTGGTAATCAGACAGTTGATGGTCCCCATTGAATTCCATAGTATTCCATTCGCTACTATGGAAGTCAATGGGGACCAACAACTGATTGGTTCTTCAAAATATCTTCTTTTGTGTTTTTGGGTGAACTGTTCCTTTAACTAACTTTAAGCAACCTTACTGTAAAGTGTTTCCAACTAATGTTTTCAAATCCAATTCCCAAATACTTTCATTGGTCACAGAAACAGATGGTCCCACCCCAAACCAATGCAATTGGTTGAGCCAGTGCTGCTTTATTGGATAGCTCAAACAATTTACATTTTTCAGGGAAATAAACATGCTACCTATAAAAATGGCAGAAAAACATAAAAACAGTCTAAAATGACCATTTGGTGGAAAAAATGACTCAATAGAGTATCTTGGACTGAATCCACAGTATTGTGGAAGTACCAGGAGTCATATTTTGGTACATTTCATCAGTCAAGTTCTGTCTGTGAAATGGTTTGTGCACGTCTCACCTGAGGACGTAGCCTCTCAAGACTCCATTGAGCTGAGGCTCCGGAGGCGGCTGCCACTGCACCATAATGGACTGGTTGGTTCTGCCACTGGCTACGATGTTCTTGGGCGGAGCGCTGGGCGGTTCCTCTCGCAGCGTCAATCTGAGGAACAAGCGTAAGAGCATTACTAGCACAGGTACACACTCAACGGAGCATCAAAGTGTTCTTACATAACTGATTCATTGCTCCATTTTCTCTTGTGCGAATCAGGTTAGTCGTCTTGCTCTGGGGCGCAACAGTGTGAGCCGCGTAAGTGTAACCCTATGGTCACAAGTCCATTTCCCAACCCGATGCACTGTGTCACATTACTCCATCAAAAGCTCTCATGCGCTTTCTTGGAAAAGTCTCTCTGTGCTTTAAGCACCGCGATGCTTTGATTTTGGAGGTCGCTGCTTACGTGGCAACTGGCTTGGGTGCATTCACAGCCACACAAGATTGCGTTCGTTGGCTCAGCACTTTCAAGCTAAGCGCTTCATTGAAATTTCAAGCTTTCGAATTACAAATAGACCAAGCATTTTTAAAGATAAGAGCATCTCATGGTTTGTTGTACAGTAGGCCACAGTAGTGCTGTGCATGTCTGCTGAAGGATTTGTCCCCAATGGCAATGCTTTTTAACTCGGTGGTAAATACCTGTACCCTTTTCAAAAAAAAGGAACACACTAAACGGCACTATTTCTGTTCAATCCTAAGAGAAGAAAACATTTTTTTCAATTTTTTGGAGCTTATATTTTAGTTTATTAAAGGGTCTCAATTCTCATTTGTTGACTGAGACTTTGTGAGATTTTAAAAATGCAGAGGCTCTGGGCACACATCAAAGTGCAAACGGACCTCAACACATTTCTCTCCGAAAAACTCTGAGACAGGAAGAAAGACATTGAAAGTCTTATTGATGTCGATCATCAAACACATGCATTCATATCGACACTATGCGTTACTTTATTCAGAGTCCTTTATTTAGGCTGGGGCTGCCATTTGCAAAATGGGGAAATGTTTTACAACACTTGTTTACAAAAGACCCTGTTGGTCCCTCCTTACTTGATCTTACAACAGATTCGTAATGAAATAGTAAACACTTTTTGAGGGAAATGCTAATGATTTTGTGGGCTCTCATTGGTAATGTCCAATATGTCATAATGACCAGTCTCTAAAGGCTAGTTTGCTAGCATATATAAATGATAATCTGTGAGCAATGCTCGGTTCAGTCCACCTTCAGAAAGCGCATTTTCTTAATTAACAAAGTTTAAAAATGAATCAGTGTTGAATGCTTAATAATGCCCATAGATTCATCCCGCCCTTTGCGTTTCATGCTAATGGACAGTTAAATCTGCATTAAAGTTTAATAGGATCATTGGGTCTTTTCAGATTTATTGTCAGTCTTCTTAAACCTCTGACCACACTTTGTTATTTCTTCCCAGAAGTCTGTTTCATAATTAATGCCCTCCATAACCAATATCATGGAGCTTTTCTCAGACAGTGCTCTGTAAATCTGCCTAATGGTGGCCGTAAGGAAAGACTGCTTTTTCCTTACGGAAACTGAGCTTTTTTTGCCATAGCCATGCAGTATTTATACATTTGTTTTACACACTTGCACTGTGCCACCAGCTATTAAACATCTGCTTCTGAACATAAACAACACAAGGAAAGTGCCTAATGCGTTTCACGAATGCAGTACACTTTGGTGTCCTATGACCTTTCTTTTTTAAGCATTAGAGGCATTATTTTGTTTTTCTGAGAACTATTAGAGGAACCATTTTGTAACATAAAATTAACCCAGCATGAAATGTTGCTAATTTTAAAACCAATCAAATGTCTGTACCTCACACCACACCTTTTAAAAGGGTAATTTTGGCCTACACTACTTAAGAGGTCTCACCCTTCCTTAACTATATTTTACAACTGGACAACAATGTCATAATTCAATTTCTGGGAAAAATGTAACATTTGGTCCCAAGCTTACTATACCCTATTAAATCTCTTAATTTAGGCTATTACTCCTAAAAATAAGAATTCTTCATTGGCATTGATGGTTCCATGAAGAACCTTTAACATGCATGGAAACTTTTCATTGCACAAAATGTTCTTTATACTGGAAAACGCTTCTTTAGATTATTAAATGCATTGCATTTTGCCAAGCTCTGCCCCAAAAAAGGCAGATAAATAGGACTTGGTGTGGGAAGGTGATAGCTCATTATGAGAGAGCTGCACTTCTCTGTTTCTATGGGCTTGTCAGCTCTAGTCCTTCTGCTTAATAAGCCCAAAATGGACAGATGTCTTGTCACAGCGAGGAGACATGCATGCTAGAGAAGATTGATGGGGCCCTTCAAGCACCACTTTCTGTTTTAACTCTGTCCCTCAGGAAGCAGCTTTGCTCTAAAAGAGTGCATCTTTGAACTGTCTGAGTCAATAGCCCTCCATATAAGGCTCATGATTTAGTGATTTTGCTTTCTATTTTCTATTTGTTTCCTATTATCTTAACGCATACTGTTTCTGAAATAGTTTTTTTGGTTTATGAGTTAATCAGCAAGAGACTTCATGGAACTTCTCCGGTCTGCCTGACATCAACATGCAAATGACTAGGATTGTAAAGCACAAACAACCAAAGCTCAGTTAATACAGGTACTTAACTGAAACATCTGCGAGCAATGAGCATTCCCTTCGAAACATCACATTTGCAGTGAATTTAAATTTGAAAGTATAATTGGAAGCAACAGTATGCAGACTTCTTTGTTTTGTTTTTACATAGTGAGTAATGTATGCAGTCATGAAATCACATGCACTCCTTCGAAAATAGATTCTAAAATGTTTAAAATAAAACGATAAAGATTGTAAAACTGCCAAATTAACTTCCTATATACAGTGAAAATATAGATTAAAAAGTAATTTTCTGTAATAATAAACATGCAAAAATATGTCTAACTAAACATTTAGAAATAACAGCTATATAATATATATAAACACAGTATGTGTAATTTTCACCAATTTAAACAAGTTAAATGTGATTAAAATATTTTTTTGTAATTGAAAGTGGAGATTTTTACATCTGGCTATACAGGCTGTTACATCTATTTCTTGTAAATCAAACCAGACTTTTTTTTTTAATTTTTTTATTTAACCAGGCATTCATGTAAAATCGAAGAAGAAGAAAAAAAAAAAAAAAGCAGCAACAACAATGAGCAGTCGTGATCAAACTACTCATGATGATATGATAACAAAATGGCAGGTTATGAATTGCTTTTAGCTTCCTACACTTGAATATAATTTACCAAATAAAGCCCTTAAATGTGTAATGTGAGCACGTCTGAAACAGTTAAGCATTAACTGAGGTTAAACAAGAGTTAAGAACCTACAGCAGGTCTTTAAAGTTTAATGTGTTCTCTCATCAGATTGTGCTCCACATTAACCTAGATGACATGCATATTTTTCAAAGACAAACTAACAAATATTACATTTATAGAGTGGGCTCAAATGTCAAAAAGTTCAATTTCAATATTCACTTTGCCTGGAGAGGCATACAACACGATAGCACTATTTTGGAAGAGCAGGTGCTGAGAAAAGCCAGATATCAGCGGTGAGAGAGAATAGATGTGAAGTCTGCAGAGAGCTGATATTACCGCTCTACGTACCCGACTGACTCATGCTTGTTTCCTTTAAATCGGTTGCTCATTAACAGCTCTTTGCATTTACTAGAACGCTTTCATTATTCACACAAGCATAAAAGAAACGTCTTTTTCCGCTGCAAAGCAAGATGCATAGTTACCTTGATCGTTCCATTGAAACTGAAAAGTCTTTTCAACTTTTTGTTGCTCTCACCCACCTGTTTACTGTAGCTTTCAGCTAATTCAGCATTGAGGAAGAGGTTTAAGTAGCTCTATATCTCTGAAAAACCATCCTCAACACTCAGCTAAATAAAAGCGATTAATTTTAAAGTGAGACATTGCTGTTGTGGGTGAGAGACGACACCACCTTCTTTTCACCTGGAACAGAAATGGCATGTTTTGCCACGTCAGGAACAGATAAAACTCTGAGGAGCTGCTGGGAAAGAGGCGTCTGACGCCCACAACTGCAAGCCTGCGAAAGCGAGCTGCTAGGGGGGTCTGATTAGAGCGAGAGGTGAAAGCAGAGGCCTGCCATTCTCGACCTGAGAAATAAAACCTACGGTATTGTGATTTCAGCCGCAGCAGAACATACTGGGAACTGTGGGTGGAGGATCAGTGACAGAACACACACTTAAACAATGATGGGCGGCAGCAGACCATAGTGTGATGGGACATAATAAGCCTGTTGCTGACCAAGCTTTAGTGTAAAAAACGGAATCTTGTGATGATGGGCGGACAACATGAGAATAAGCAGCTGTTGACAACCATGGCCTCCTACCTGTTGGTTTCGGTGCTGTACTGTCCCTTGCCCACCTGATTGACCGCGCAAACTCTGAACTGGTACGAGCGGGCCGGAGTCAGGCCCTTCACCATGGCTCCAGTCACGGTGGGGTCCACATCAGGCAAATACACTCTCCAGGGAGAATCTGGTATACAAAGAGAAGCAGAACATTTCTAACTATTTAAAAAATACAGGGGACATAATTTATTTATGTATCTATTATAATGTTATTATATTAATATACACTGCTGTTCAAATGTTTGGTAGGATTTTCTGAAATGTTTCTGAAGTCACTTATGCTGAACAAAGCAGTAAACAATGAAATATTATTAAAATTTAAAATAAATGTTTTTTTAATGTATTTTAAAATGTAATGTGTTCCTGTGATGGCAAAGTTGAATTTTCAGCATCATTACTCCAGTCTTCAGTGTCACATGATCAACTTACTCACGGTTCGGTTCGCATCACGGTTTTAGAGTCAAGATTTTGTTACGGTTTGGTATGTGCTACGTTTAGGGAAAAACTATACTGTCAAATAAAAATAAAAAAAATAAGAATAATCTACCTAACTACAAGCAACAGCAGAAATAAATACAATAGAGTAAAGATACAAATACAATAAACAGTGATTTTTTTTTTAGGTAGGTCTAACATTAGTTTTTAGGTACAGCATACATAAAATAGCATTTTACTGTATAAATGAAAGATTCATCTTTATTAAAGTTACAAAAGCTTGTTGTTGCTGTATGATTAATATTAAAAATGTGCTGTCACTTTAAGAGAATGCACTGATCCAGAGCACCGATACAGTATGTTCAGCCGGCTATGTCTGCTATAGGTTTACCAAGAACAGTTCCATCCCTAGTCTTTACGATAACTTTTCATCAGTTTAATGCATCCTTGCTGAATAAAATGTATTTCTTTAAAAAAAAAAGTACTGACCCCGATTATGAGTGGTAATATATCTCATATTACATATATTTATTAATACAAAAGTTTTTTCTAGTTCTTGAATCTGATTGGCTGAGAGGAGTATGATATTCAAGTGATAACAGAGTTTCCCTTTCATGGAACTTCGAACTGCGTCCTCTAGGGGTCGCTATGGGGAACGCCTCGTCGTGACCCGTGTCTGAAGCCTACATTGAAAAAACACCAACTTGTTTGGCCGGCGACAGCCATGACGTCACTACCGTCGC